GGAGACTTGTAATAGTAAGGGGGAGGTGGTGAATGAGTAGGGGGAGGGGGAGATACGTACTGATATGGTGGGGGTGGAGACTTTGCTGGCGGTGGTGGAGACTTATAATAATAAGGTGGAGATGGGGAATAAGCAGGAGGAGGGGGGGATGTATAGTGATATGGTGGAGGGGTGGACTTCACAGGTGGAGGTGGTGACCTGTAATAGTAGGGAGGAGGTGGTGAATGAGTAGGGGGAGGGGGAGAAGTATAGTAATATGGTGGAGGAGACTTTTTAGGTGGAGGTGGCGACTTGTAATAATAAGGTGGAGGTGGTGAATGAGTTGGGGGAGGAGGAGAAGTATAATGATATGGTGGAGGTGGAGACTTTGTAGGAGGAGGGGGTGACTTGTAATAGTAGGATGGAGGTGGGGAATGAGTGGGGGGAGGAGGAGATGTGTAATGATACGGTGGAGGAGGAGACTTTGTGGGTGGAGGTGGGGACTTGTAATAGTAGGGTGGAGGTGGTGAATGAGTGGGGGGAGGAGGAGACTTCACAGGCGGCGGTGGTGACTTGTAATTGTAGGGAGGAGGTGGTGACTGAGTAGGGGGAGGGGGAGATGTATAGTGATATGGTGGAGGAGGAGACTTTGCAGGTGGAGGGGGTGAGTTGTAATAGTAGGGTGCAGGAGGTGGGGGTGACTTGTAATGGTAAGGAGGGTGCCACACATGCTTGGGTGGTGATGGCGATTTGTGTTGGTATGGGGGCAGTCCCTCATGCGTTGGTGGTGGTGGTGGAGAGGTGTACAAGTAAGGCGAGTAGTCGGCCACCGCGGTGGTGGCTATAAGGCAGAATGCCACAACATAAACCAGCTGAGGCCAAAATTGCCTCATGTCTAGCAATTGGAAGCAGATAAGATCTAATCAGCAGAAGACACTTGTTCTGTTCTGTTACTTGCTCCATGTCTTGCTGCCAAACCCCTTTTATACTCATCTCTTCAATCATTTTCCATAATGATACCAAAAATTAAAGTCCATTAACAGCCTGGATTAAATCCTAAAATATTCCCCCAAATCTCACCGCCATTATTGACCTATATATATTGTTATTTTTAAGTTCTACTTGTAATTGGTGGGGTCCCCTAACAATTTCCCATATAGGTAGACAAAATGTGGTGATGCTGATGCCATGAACGAGTCAGAAGAGTGAGTTGTTACAGATGTTGTACGGCTGGAAATTGCAAGTTTTATATACAGTAGGAAAGCGTCTAAGAAGATTTTACTTACGTTAAAATCATGTTGATTACTAAAAGATATATATATATTTTATAACATGGATATAATCTTTTATTAACCAAATTTTATGAATACCTTCAAACATTTATTCACCAAACTCTGTTAAAAAGTGGTTGGTATATCTATTAAAATTATTTGCATTGAAATAACAATAGAATTTGAATCTACATTTCCATTTCAAATCAGCACTTATCATCGCTCAGGCCAGCATGTTAAGTATGGGATTGTAATTGTGAACAAAAGGATATAAAGTCAACAAATGCAAGCTTGTATTTGTTTTGACTAATATATAAGCTTAATCATGCAAATTCAGAAGTCTACTTCATCTTTTTGTCTTCTTTTGTTTTAGTTAAACCTAACCCAGAAGGCTGCTTATGAATTGTTTTATGAAGGTTGGAATTTAGATCTATCGTCGGTGATGGGGAGAAAATCAAAGGGATGTAAGGAATCTGAGATATAAGCAACAACCGATAATTGGTAGTTTAGATGCTCAGAAGGATCGATAAAAGAGTGTTTACAATTGATTAAACCAAGAATTGAATATTAGAAAAGGTTTTCCCTGCCTAGAAGGACCCTGCACCACCAATGACAAATTATTCATATTATGGTTTTATTTAGTCTGCTGCCAACTAGATTTGGGTCCAATAGAAACTAATCCTCACCTAACTATAGAGACCTTAGAGGATCTCAATTGGGTACCCCAATACCACGTTATCACAATTCAAATTATTTTATTTAACAAATATTTAAAAACTCTAAGAGAGACTCATTTCTCTAATAATAAAACTCAAGTAAAGTTAATTAAAAATTATATTAATATTATTTTATTAAAAAAAAAAATCAGGGAATACCGTGTCCCTCCCCTGAGGATGCGCCCCAGTGGTGGCTGGGTATCCCACAGGCTAATGGAGATGGCTTTAATATGTGATCACTTAAAATGTAAACAAGAAGTGCGTCCTTTTGTTTCTTTCCTCTACCTATTTTGTACCTTTTTCACCCTTTTTTTTTTTAACTTCTAAATGACCCATATATTTTATACATCTCCATCTCTACGTCACAAATTTCAAACTTGTACCAAATATAGTCTTCCTCACCAGGGACGGAGGATATGTGGGGCTGCCCCCCCCCCAGCTGTTGAAAAAAAATTAATATACATCCTAATTATTTATAACATCATTAAAACACTTATATGAGTTGAAAGTTTAAAATTCACATAAATCACTTTTTCAGTACTTTGCTTCATAATTATGAGTTAAAAGTTCTTTTTTTTTTTATTATTGAAGAATGATTAGTAAATAATTCTAAAAAAAAAAAAAAGTTTAGGATAGACGCTCAAAACAATAAGTAAATTCAACTATAAATTCAAACTTTAAGCAAAATGATAATAAAATCTCTATGAAATTTATAAATCACATGCCAAATTCAAGAAGAGAACAGTAGAAAATTGGAAATGGCATAAAGAAAAAGGAGAAATGTTATGGAGAGTAAATTTAAAGTTTCATATTAATTAAAGTAGTTATAGATTCCATTACATATGATAGATATGCATGGTATAGTTTACATTATTTTATA